TGCGCCCTCCGCCGCTCAGAGCTCCGGGCTCGGCTGGGTCAGAAGCCGCTGTAAGAGCTCAGCTGGGGAAGTCTTCGTTCATCTGCAAGGGAACACCACCAAGGTTATTTCCAAACAAACAAACAAACCAGACAACCCCAACCTTTGAATAAAATGGGCTGTGTGTTAGAAAGAAAACATCAAAACAAGTAAGCGGCCTTTGTTTTTCAAGAGCCCGTTGCTCAAAAACACACGCTAACCATTTTCCAATGCAGGATGCCAACAGGCTGCGAGGAGCCAGATTCCTCCCAGAAGCAAACTTCTCCGGGGAGTTTATGAAGGTAAAAATACACAATGAAACGCTTCATCCCTCTTCCACCTATGCCAGAGGGCAGGTATGTGCTGCTAGATGGCAGAGAGGATGGCTCGTGGCTTACAACCAGGAGTTAATTAATTGAGAACCCAGAGAAGGTGCTGGTTTCTCCACACTGCGAATGCAGGCACGACCACAGCCTGACGCAGACCTGTGACGGATGGATTGAAGCTAACTCGTCTGGGAACAGATAACAACACGACGGCTCAGTGCCTGCTGCCAAACCGCCCGGGGCTCCGTGCAAGCACCAGGACTGGTGAGCACTCACCAGCAACGCGCGGCTGCGGTCACGCTGGCATCGGCACCTGAACGAGCCAGTTCAGGCTGCCCAAGCTCAGCCCCACTTCTGGAAGGCATCGCAGGCCCTGGGGTCAGCTCACAGGGCCCTCGGGGACACCAACACCACGGCTCAAAACACGGGAGAAAGACCCCGGTATCTCCAGGTTAGACCCCTGCGGTCTCCAGAACTGAGGGGTCTCCACGATTCAGCACATCAAACCCCGCAGGCCCTGCTGCGGCTCGCAGGGCAGCCTGGGGGCTGTGTCCTGCTCCTGCAGCACCCAGGAAGGGAGCATCTTTTCACCTTTTACATTTAACACAGGAAATGAGTTTCCAAGAGAAAGAAAACCTGTGCCAAAGTCCCTTATGAACCTTTTCCAGAGTGAGGGAGTCCATGAGGTTTCTGCAGAGCTGCAAACCAGTCCAGCCAGTCCCTGTTATCAGTGCTCCTCAGGGCCCTGAGCGCTGGGGAAGGCAACTTCTGAGCAGCAGTCTGGGTGTGATACAAAGGCTCTTTCCTTCAAGAAGAAACATACCCCACATCGTGCAGGACCTGCTAAGCACAAGATGCCCATGCTCTGTCTTCAGCACAGCCCCGCACCCACAAATCACGATGAGCAGAGACCATCGCTGCTCTCAGGTGAGGTAAAAAAGGTGTTTGGGCCAAATCTGCGCTCTGAACCATCACCTCCAAGGCAGCACCGGTTCCACTCCTTCCTCCACACCGATCTCATGATCTCTTTCTGGTCTCTGCTGCTCTGACTCTCGTCTCCTCTTTCTATAAGCCTCACAGGCTAGAAAAGCCTCCCCCTTCTGGCTACCAAACACTTCTGTTTACCTCTTCCAGAAAGTCTTAAAACCTGATTTTCCATCAAGGTCTCCTTGCAGAGCAGCTCAGGAAGTCTCCATCCCTTCAGCATGTCCCCAGGACAATTGAATTAAAGGATAAACACCTTAGCTCAGGAGCCTCATCGAGTACCTACCTTGCAAATTCAGAGTGAACAGTTCTGCTGAACTAACACCACGAAGAAAAGCACAAGGAGATCTGAGCAGGGTTTCCTGCTCTGCTGCAGCCTTTGGAGAGACCCGTTACAGATGTCAGCGCCTTGTCAATCCAAGGCGTTCGTGCAAAACGCACATCAACAGCGCTGTCATCCCAGATACGCTACCGCCAGCACATGGACCTGCCTTTGGCCTTCAGTGAGGAACAGTGCCAGACAAGGTCAATGTTTTCAAGCTTCACTTTGCCTTTCCATTCCCGCAGTTTCTCAGATCCCTACGAGCACTCCATTGCTGTATGAAATCAGCAGATGTGCAGCTCGAGCACACAGGGAAAAAGCAATTGCCCAAGGTCAGCCAAGAAGCAGGAGCTGGGAACTCGGCCGAGGGTTACGACTCCCCTCTCGTGACTGAACACCATGAACAGACACCTGTAACCTCTTCAGAGCCGTGAATCACATTCACAGCGTCCATGCAAAACCCGGACTCACAATTCGGGACAACCACAACATGCTAAAGAAGTCAACACTCGCAGCCAGGGCCATGTGGGGCAGACCCCTCAGTGACAAAGGGATGTCCCACGCTTCCACCCGCCCAAGGACAAGGGAGCTTGTGCAAAGCCTGGCACGACTGCTGTCCCCAAACCCCCCTGGGGAGCAGAGCCAGCAGCCCCCAGGCCCGAGGAGACCGAGCCTGGCCCGGCGGCTCCCTTCATCCCTGGGGGAGGACAAAAAAGAACCCCCGCCCCAGGCCGACCTTGCCCCCGCC